GTGCAGAAGGAAGAGAATCTTCCAGGACTCAGGGAGAGGACTCAGACACTTGTGACTATGCCATTAACCTATGACCCGTGAAGAGGTATTGGTAGTTAAGAACAACTCTAGGGGTGCCTGGGTGGCTCAGTCAGTTAAGCGTCTGCCTTTGGCTCAGGTCATGATCCCAGGGTCCTGGGATCAGGCCCCGCATCAGGCTCCCTGCTCGGCGGGGAGCCTGCTTCTCCCTCTCCTTCTGCCTGCTGCTCTGAGTACTTGTGATTCCTCTTTCTCTGTGTCAAATGGATAAATAAAAAAAAATCTTAAAAAAAAAAGAAGACCAACTCTATAATGGACACCTATTCCCTCTTCTTAGTTCTTCAATAAACAATATCATTAATTTTAAAGTAATGCCAAAGAAAATATTTTTTCAGGCACTGTTAAGGAGATTTTGTATAACACATAGACTATGTTGCCAACTGCCTAGATTCTTCTAGTCCAGGATCAGTCCTTACTATTTGTGTGACAGTGGCAAGCTACTTAAATGCTGCATTCACTGTCTTTATCCAAAAGATTGGAATAATATCTATCTGTTGGTATGAAGATTGAGTGAGACAGTGCATGTAAAACCCTACAAACAGTGTTTTCCCGTGGTAAGCACTCAACAAATGATATTTTATTAGCATGACCTGAATTACAAAGGTCCAAATGGCATTTTTACTCATTCTAGGGCTCACTCATTGCAAAAATAAGTGTACTTTTTCCCTATTTTGGTAATATATTGTTTTTATTCCAAAAGGTTAAGTTTAATAACTCAATTCATTTAAAAAGTATTTATGCAGACAGAATTATAGTAGTAATTGTGCTGTTATCACCTTATGTTTTTGAGCACTTTTAACTTCCAAATAGTTTTTGTATCCTCATAATATTCCTATAAGCACCAGAGGACAGTTGTCCTCCTTTTACAAATTAGGAAATGGGATAATATAGAGTTAGTGATTTGTCCACGGTAGAGTTAAGGCCACCAGACTTTTAGTCTCATTATCCAAACAAATCAACCAAAACTCAAAAAGTTATTGAGCACATATTTGTGCCCAACTTTGCAGTGGGGGCCTCAGAAGACTAAAATTATATAAAATACAATCCGTAACCAAAGAAACATTTTCTCCCATCCAAGTACTAACCAGGCCCGACCCTGCTTAGCTTCCAAGATCAGACAAGATCGGGCGCGTTTAGACAAAGAAACATTTTCTAATTGGAGAGATATGATTTTATATTGCCAGTTTTGCCCAGTTTTTCAAGCTCTTCAAAATCTGTGTAAGCCATCATTCCTTATTATTAACTTTCAGTGGAAACCCATATTTCTAGCTGTTCCATTATTCTTACTACTGCATGAGTCAAGAAACCTTTATAAGGTTTTAAAAACAATTCCTTAGGTTATTTGAATGTACTTTGTGGGTTGAGGTCTGCTGGGACTTACGGAAGTGTTGAGTGTGACCCATGCTATGCCTTTCCTACATTTGGGGAAAAACACGGGACAATTATAGAAAGACAGCCGAAAAATTTGTCCTGGAATGGGGGACAGTGGTGCATAAGTGTGCACCTTATGGGGGAAGCAAAACAAATGCAGGTCTCCCTTTTACATGTCTCTTCATTTGTAGTCCCTTCTTCGTTTTCTGGAAGCTGGGGCCGTCTGCTCCTTGCATACTCCTGTAGCTTCATCTCCTGTGACTTTATATCCCAGAAACATTAAACTATTACTGTGTCTAAACACATCATGTTGTGTCATGTCTCTAGCTTTCTGTACATTTATTCTTTCTGACTGGAATGCTCTTTAGAAAAAAAAGTTTCCTAACTTTTTAAAGGAGTCTACCATAACAAGAATTTAATGAGACAATTTAAAAATGAAACAGAAAATACAAAATCTGTCACTTTTCCAGATAAACCTGTAAAGCAATTCATTACAGAGGGCAGAAGGCAGACAACACAAAAGGACTAACAGTGGAATATGTTACTAGTAATTCTTACAAGAAAACACTGGCCAACAGAGTGTTGGGAATGCTATTAGTAATAATAATAATGACAATTTATTGAATATTTATAATTTGTCAGGTACTATGCTAACTACTTCACATTTATTGTCTCATTTAATTCTCCACAGAAAGTATGAAGGTGATTTTATCCCCATTTTTGAGATGAGAATTGAGGACCGGATAGTCAGGTAAGGCCATATGGTATGTGGCTAAAATGGAATCATATAACACAATGTCTGGCTCCAGAGAATAATCTATTATGAACAACATTATAATTATAGGCTTTCATGTCTAAAAACAAATGCTTAGGAAATGGATAATAAACAATGACCATTTATAACTTTAACCCAAGGCATTGATATAATTTCAATAATGATCCATAATAGATAAGGCTCATTATTGAAATCCAAGCATGGAAACATTAACATATTCAAATGGAACAGGTCTAGCAGAGCCCATGGTAGGTAACATTGTGAGTCAATAAAGGTATGTCCCAACATGGAAATTCATATTTAAAAGTTGAGGATTATCTTTCTAAAATCCAAATATATGTACAGTTGACCCTTGAACAATGCAGGGGTGAAGGATACCAACACCCTGTGCAGTCAAAACTCCACATATAACTTTTGGCTCCCCCAAAACTCAGCTACTAATAGCCTACTGTTGACCAGAAGCTTTACTGATAACATAAACAGTTGATTAATATATACATATTTTGTATATATATTATATACTATATTCTTACAATAAAGTTAGAGAAAAAGAAATGTTATTAAGAAAGTCATAAGGAGGAGAAAATACATTTACAGTTCAGTACTTATAAAAAAATAATCAATGTATAAATGGGCCCACACAGTTCAAACCCATGTAGTTGGAGGGTCAGCTATATATGTATGTGTATATATATGTATATATATATTTGCATATATATGTATATGATAATTACCACACATGTGATCGTTACCATACATATATGCAAAACTACGGCTCATTTGTATCCTCCATTATCTAGTACAATATCTGGTGTATGGTAACTGCTGAATAAATGAAAGTAGGCAAAAGAATAAAGGCTAAAACAGAAAGAACCAAAATGATGAGATTACTTTAATACCCTACAGGCTGCATTCCTAATTTAGAATAAAGAATCTTCATCTTTTGAGGCACCTGTCATCAGTTTAATTCCACTAAAAGAAGAGCATCATATAAATTGTGCCTTGCTTTGAAGAGAATACAATATAAGACTAAGGAAGCAATGAGGAGAAATAACTTTATATGGGTTTATTTCTGACCAAGAAGGAAGAAATAAATGGTGAACTAAAGTACCAGGAAATTTGTGACAATATGGTAATTTATAAAAGAATATTTACAGAAAGCTAATTAAAAAATAAATGAAAGAAACTGAAATGTAACGGGGATGATAGAAGTTTCAGAATTGAATATAAAAATTCAACTGGTTGAGATACAACTGCATTTCAACAGCAATTTTTGGAAAAAAGATGACGGATAATTGCTTTCCTAGAAGCCCAACATAAATTGACAAGGCAAATGTCTAAGAAAGAAAAAAAAAAACCAACAATATCTAACACATTATTAGGTTGAATCAAGAGAAAAATGGAATCTGGATCATGGGGAATAAAACTATATTTTCAAGTGTGCTCCCATCAGAGCAAGTGTGATAATGAGAATCCTTCAAAATGGTTCTATTAAACAGAGTTAAATGAGATGGAAAAGTTTAATCTGAGTGCCTACTTTGTAGCAAACATATTCAAGCATGTCACAATATAAAAGGAGACATGCATACATATCAGTAGCTAGATGTGAGATGTATGAGCCTAGAGCATGAGTTGTTTATTACCTATGCTCTGCCTTCTATCTCTGGGAACCAAAAAAGAAGCCATCCATTCTGCCTGGGGTCCAGAAGTTTTCATGATCACCACTTTCAAAGAGCTGAAACAGTGTTTCTCACATTTAAGAACTCTGCACTTCAGGCAACTCCCCTTCCCCCCCACCCCCACTGCCACCCAGACCCAGGGCTTGCACTCCGATTAGGAAAGCAGTGCATCTGAGTTCAGCATAGGCAGCTGGAGCTTCATTCATCAGTGTTCCCTACATCACGCCATGTGCTCTGGTATCATCTATTCTGTTTAATTACAATTAAAAAAATTACTGGTATAATAAATTGGCTTATCAACTCCCACTGGGTCATGACTCAGAATTTGAGAAATGCTGCATTACATTGTCTCTAAAGTTTCTACTACCCCAATATTTAAATTTTTAATTAATGCAATGATAATCCAATATATAAAATGATACAGATATGAAGAAATAGAACTGCCTCCGGTAGTTCAGTGGATAGTCACTTTTTAATAAAAAGATCAGTTTTTTTCTGTTAGCCCTGAACCATACAGACAAAAACAGTATAAATCATGTAAAGTTTTTGCAGAAAAAGTATTTGTTATGGATGGTCTTTGTAATAAAAGTTTCTTTTTTAATTCAACAGAGCATGTGGTAGCTATTAGTCTTCACCAAATAGTAAATGTAAATCTGAAGATTCAAGACAAAAAAAAATCGGACTAGAAAAAAAATATTGCCAAATTTATTTTAACAGTACTTTAGAACCAACTTTATAAAAATAAAAATCATTTAAAAAAATCAGCTTCCATTGGTTCTTTAGTAAAACCCAAATCTTCAATGAACAACATTTGAACTGGGATAATACTCAAATTAATATCCTGAAAAAAATTATACAACGTTTTACAAAAATGATCTATCATTTTTCCCCCTGAATCCATTATCTGTGGACATGTGAAATGAGATGAGGGTCTGCCTACCATTATATCTCTGTACTCTTTCTCTCCCCGTCTCATTACCACAAATCTGATTTACCCAAAGGCAGCAAGATACACACACACATATATATTTATATATAGGCAATAATACATGTATATATATATAAATTTATACCTACCTACATCTATAAAATCTTACCTCTTTGCTTTCCTCGAGATCTGATTCACTACTGAAGTCCTCTGTGTTTAAATTTTCAAAGTCAGACTCTCCAACAGCAATTGGTACAGTCACAGTAAGACTGGGATTATTTATGAATGACATGTAATCGCTTTCATCAATAATGTATTTTTCAACACTGCTGCCGGTTCCTATTCCACTTGTGGTTCCATTCACGTCTTTAAGATAGTCAAGATCTTTTCCAATTTCTGTTGTATGATTGGACATACAACTGTCTTTCTTATTGTTTAGGTCATCAAGTGGTTTAATTTCATCTAAAATCTTTTGTTTTCTAACAAAGGATTGTTGAATAAATTCATATATTTTTCTCTTCACGTAAGCTATTCCCTTGTGCATCCTGTCCACAGCTATTTGGAGATTGTTCATTTCATTATCATCATCCGTGGCTGCAAGATTGTCTGCACTAAATGAGCTCAGAAGCAAGGCCAGAAAGAGGTTCAGGACCTTAAAAATAACACAGACATGATTATAATTTTACCCCAATGTAAAGAAGAGCAGATTGGGATCACTTATTCTTCTAAGTGTAGAGGAAACACCATAGCACAATGATTAGAGGTTGGGTAATCTGAATTTGTGATCTGGCTCAATAGCTACCTCACTCTACGTCCTTGGGCGAAGACATGATTTCTGTTGGTCTCACATTCTCCCACTTACAGAATGAAGAAGTTGAATGAGTTAACCTAAGGTTTAGCTATGTTTAAAATTGTATGATTATAAGAAAACAGATTGAAATATGTACCACACAAAAGTTCTAACCTTAAAAATCACTGGTGTTTGCAATTACACACTTAAATACATTCTATAGTTCCTTTTTTGATAAACAGATATTGAGTTAGATATAAATTTTAAAAAATAATCATTATGATCCAGAATAAGAATCAGTACCTTAACATAGGCATTGACACTTATTTTCTTAACCTATTATATTTCTCATACTCCACTATTGATTAATTAGGAGAACTGTTTATAAATAATCTCTAATATTTCCATAAGACTGACACTTTATATATGTATCTTCTGGAATATACTAAATTTTTCTATATTATAAAGAGTAATTCATGTTTCCAACTTAAGAGAAGAATTGACCAGTTACTCCATTTGGGTAATCTCAGGCCTCACTAGCCCACCCTTATTTTGACTGAGAACCACTAGAAAATTGATTAACCTAGCTTGGCTAAAGCACCTGCCATATGACATAGAGTGATTGAACGCTATATGCCATAAAAGAGGCAAGGAAATGGTAAAATCATTTATGAACACCTAAAGACACCACTCTTCAGTCCTATACTGGCAAGTAAGATTAAGCTTTCTTTAAAAATTTTTTCAGACTTCTCCCTCCCTTTTCTCTGAATTTGTAAAACGTTCCCAGCATATCCTTCAAGGCCTATCTTCAGTAGGATACTCTATTAAAATGCATATACTAAATGTGATGAAATGACTGATGAAGTTGATTTCAATATAAAAACTGTAAGGTCGGGGTGCCTGGGTGGCTCAGTCGTTAAGCGTCTGCCTTCGGCTCAGGTCATGATCCCAGGGTCCTGGGATCGAGCCCCGCATAGGGCTCCCTGCTCCACGGGAAGCCTGCTTCTCCCTCTCCCACTCCCCCTGCTTGTGTTCCCTCTCTCACTGTGTCTCTCTCTGTCAAATAAATAAA